CTTCCGAGGGCAAGAGGCCATTATCTGTGGACAGACAGGACTTGTGCAAATCCAAAGAAGGTGTCTTTGGTGCTCATATGATGTTTTCGTGACGGTTATATTCCACTTGGGTCCCTCCCAGCGCGGTCAAGGCTGTGGTCGGTGCAAAGTTCATGGCATTTTACTTCCATGCACAGTGCCTTCCCTTTTAAAATATTACAGAGGGATTTGGCTTTTTAAATAAAAACATAGGTAATCGTTCTCTTTAAAAAGAAAATAAACACTTCCAAAGCTCTTTCTACCAAAGCGAGAGCTGCCGGGGCTGGCGTATTTATTTGCAACTGGGAGGAGATGCCAATACGGTGAATAAGGCAAAAACATTGCAGGCAGAGCGGCCGCGGCGTTCGCGCAGCTCCAGCTGAAATCTCTGCCTGCCATCTGGCAAAAATAAGCACAAAAGGAAAAAAAAAACAACCCCAAAACCCCTTTGCAGAGAGTTCACGCTGAACTGCTCAGGCCGGCAGAGGTTAGAGTTTGTTCAATCGCTGAAAGATTGCTTCCCCTTCCCGGGTCAGCATCACCTCTTGACCTGCCCTGATTACCTTCCAAAGGAGGTTATCAAGATACAAGACTAACAGAGGATTAAAGGAAACTTAAAATAAAAACAAGACACCCCCCCCTTCCCCCAATTCTGCTCCCCTCCCCCAAGAAAACATCCTTGCTTTGTTAACCTGACAGTTCACTGTAGGTGTTGACACAACCCTCCATCTTTGAGAAGCTTAATGTCAACAAATCAGTGTGTTTGGAGTAGCCCTGTCAATGCAATTTACATTAACTTGTCTAACAAGAAATAAAAACAACAATCAGCCATCAAAGACAAAAGGCTTTTTCAGTCATTCTTTTAAAAGTATTATGCTGGAAATGTTAATTTTTGAGGCCGTGGCCCTTTACTTGCTGAAAACCAGAAACCACCTTTTTTTTTTTCCCTAAAATACTTTTCTTTTTTTAAGCATTTTTTTTTTCTTAAAAAAAGGAAAGTATTTTCTTTTAAAGGAGGCCCGAGCATCCCATGTTAATAAGCTCAGCAGCAGCAGTAACCGACTCTCCCTGGTTAACGCAGGAAGAGGGCAGCCTTGAAGCCAAATGTTAATTATGCTTTGATTTCCACCAGCGTGTTATTTGCTTTGAGACATTTTGAGCACTTAGCGGAGCATTTTCGAATTGTGGCTCTAAACCACCATGAAAATTTCATGCAGCAGTGGTATGCACCAAAACCCCGTTAACTTCACCGTGAACTTTTCCTCTCCTCCGGCACACGCTGTACCCACCAGCATGCCCTTTGCAGCCGGAGGCTCGGCGTCCCGAAGCAAAGTTGGAAAAAGCAAATCGATTCCAGGGATTCCTAATATCAAGTGGTTTCCACCATCTCCCACAATGTCTACTCTTATGCTCTAAAGGAAAAATTCCTGCTTGAACACTAGAGAAAGTGGAGGCTCTTTATGGCACTCTGCAAGCCAGGACTAGCTTTGGTCTGGGTTAGTTTTCCTGCTTGAGCAGCTGACCTGCTTGCCCAGGGAGGTGGTGGATGCCCCATCCCTGGAAACATTCAAGGCCAGGCTGGACGGGGCTCTGAGCAACCTGATCTGGTTGGAGATGTCCCTGCTCATTGCAGGGGGGTTGGACTGGATGGCCTGGAAAGGTCCCTTCCAGCCCAAAGCATCCTGTGGTCCTGTGACCTCCAGAGGTCCCTTCCAACCTCAACCCTTCTGGGATTCACCCTCAATAAATACAGGAAAAAATCAGCCTCATGTATCCAAAAAGAGAAACACAAAACCTAATGCCCAAATCGTGGCTTGGAGTCGTCTTTTAGCTCGCTCAGCATCTCTGCTCCTCTTCACCCCCTCTCTGAAATGTTGACTCGAGTCAACCGGACCCTTCAAGGCCATTTGATCTGCCTTGCGGCGAGCTGGAGCCTTGACCCCAGAAAGGTTTCCTGCAGATGAGCAGCCCTGTCCGAGACAATGGGATTACTCACACCCGTCAAGTTAAGGAGCCGCCTGCATTTTTGCAGGCTCAGGACTTTCGGCTCCGTTCTATTACAGGACAGCACTTTTTGTTGGTGTAATTTTAGCACGGTAACCGCCGACATGCCCAGGCCAAGTTTCTTTGATCAGCAGGTGAAGGTTTTTCTCGGTGTAATTACTGGTGTGACAAAAGGCAGGTGAGTGCCTCGGCGCCTGCCACTTCGTCGTCTCCTGAGACTGCCACGCTTTTCTCCTAAAAAACTGCTGCAGGTTCAAATACTAGGAGAGCGCTTCTCACTGATTTTAAAATTGTGTAAATTCGGTCAACGTGAAGGCACCTGCTCGGGAAGACAGGGCATTTCCAAACCAGGAAAGGACATGAGAACAGGAGGGGACGGTGTTGCACGGAGGCCACTTCTAGGGACAAGACGACGCTCCGCTCTCCAAGGATGGTGCACAGTCACTTGATTTGCTTTGTGAGCTACTGGCAGAGTGGAAATCCTGTATTTTATAGCTGGAACAGGCTGCAAACTCATTTCAAACCAGGCAGCAACTCCTCTTAGATGGTAACACTACGATGCTAATAATTTGGGCTGGGTTAGGACCAGCAATATAGAAACAGCTCTACCTTGTCACTAGGAATCCTGCAATATCCTCTTTTACTTACAATTCACCCTTTTTGGAGATAGTTCCTTTCCCTCTTGCACCCCTCTCA